TAATTCGAATGGCATAACAAAAAATTTATAGTGTCCATACTAGTGTGAAATGTCATCTTACTATGTCTCAGCCCTAACTTCAACTAATGATACTAGATCATAAGTTTATTTTTGAAAAAACACTGGCCCCTTGCAACTGATCAACTAGGTCATCTATCATCGGGAGTGAGTACTTATTTTTTATAATTACCTGATTCAGATCTCTGTAATCTATACACATACGCATGGTCATGTCCTTCTTCTTTACAGATAACACCGGTGCTCCCCGTGGTGACATACTCGAACTTATGAATTTCTTATCCAGCAATTCTTGTAACTGTTTACTTAGTTCCAACAATTTTGATCTCATTTTCTGATATGGAGCCTTAGAAATAGGTTGTGTTCCCAGTTGCAACTTTATTATGAACTCAACTTCTCGGTCAAGTTGTATGCTAGGAAGGTCCTCCATAAATACATCAGAAAAATTTCGTACTACAGTTATCTCCTACAGTGTGAGTCTCTTACTCTCCTGACCAATCAACATACTAGTAAAAATGTTACTTTGCTCATATATAAATTCAAGAGTGCCCAATACTACAATCAAAACTCGTTAGTATATCATGCAATATTGAGTATGGAAACCAAATAGAAGTACAACTATTTATCACCCCATCTAACTATTTTGTTTTTTTTATATATATAGAGAAAGACTCTTCATTTGGGATCTTAAACACCACTTATTTACGAAAGCAGTCTACATGTATATGATGTGCGGCGAAGCCAATCCATGTCTAAAATTACATCAAAATTTTAAATGTCTAGTAAAATCAGCTTTGTTTCTAATTTTCTCCTAGTTATTTCTACCCCATAAGAATTATATATTATATTAGTACACAGAGCACCACTAGTGGGTGTGGACACTGTAAGTATGCAATCTAACACTACCGATTCTACCTTTAACCTAGATGTAAACATAGATAAAGTGAATGAGTGTGTGGCTCCATGATCAATCAAAACACTAGCAGAAAAATTCAAAACATAGAGTGTACCTTGTATGACTTCCGGGGTTGCCTCTGCATCTTAAGTTGTTAAAGCGAATATCCAGCCTTGCACCAATGGTCTACTAGACTCCTTAGGCAGGGGATAATCCCGTACAAAATATTGGGTGCTACTATATTGGTAAACATCCTCGATTAATAGGAGTACACGGATGATCTCCATGACTCCTCCCACAACGCGTGCAATCCATACTCCTCGAAAGTATTTAGTGGCCTAGAGTTAAATCTTGTACTGTTCTCTGTCTCTTCTCTGTCTGGCTGGGTTGTGGTGGTACCCGTTTGGGGCTCAAAAATCCTATATTGTACTCTATGTGTTCCTTGTGCAGAGTCTCTGCTAGTTATGTCTTCTCTAATACTACTTGATATATGTAGGTAATGCGAACACCGGTACCTGATGATACAGTTTCGGTCAGAACCCTTTTTTAAATCTCCTTGCCTTCTTCCACTCATTCATTATAACCTCCAGAGCAAATCATCTCAAGTTTATGTATCTCTCTGAATATTCTGCCACTAATAGTTTTCTTTGTCAGAGCTCTACAAACTCAGTCTCTTTCCATTGTCTAATAAAATCTGGGAAGTACTCCGTGTTGAAAGCTTCAAGGAAGACTTACCAAATTATTGCGGGGACTAAGACTCTCCTCTTTAGACTCCACCAATGCTCTCGAACCTCTCAATATAAAAGTAACCAGTTGTACTTTCTGTTCAGGGGTTATCTCTATCATATCAAATATTTTCTATATTTCTTTTATCCAATCTTCAACCACTAGTGGGTCGGAGCCCCTGTTAAATATCGAAAAATTGAGTCTCTGATACTTCTCAATGTTACTTGTGTATACTCCACCCTGACTCGCATTATATTATGGGATGTAAGATGTCTCCGATCGAAATTCTCTCTCTCGAATCATTGCTACCAAGCTCTCGACCACCCTACACAAACAGTTGAAATCGTATTGGTGTCCAGCTGTTTGCCCCACATGTGGTGCTGGCATAACGGAAGGGGATATCTGCTGGGTAATTGGTGCCACATATGGAAAAGTGGGGGGTCCTTGAAAAGCAGATAGGGGCACCTGATGGAAGGAAGGTACCCCCTAAGGTGTCATCGGTGGATCCTGGGGTGCTGGTGTGGATCTTCCGGGGATGGCCTCTGCCTTTTTTCATATGCTCTCCTTGTCTACCTGCATCACAATAATCTCTGTCAGTTACTCAAACTGTAATATTCCTATCATCTATCATATAATTTAAACCCTAGGAACTTGCTCTGATACCAACTGTAACACCCCTCGATGTTTCATGAACATTATTCCACCTGTGCTTTATTCACTCCTATCCATGAACACATCCAAGACCAAAAGTTCAGTATACATACAACTCATTGAGTTTACCTGTAATACCCGCAATTAATTTTAAGAATTTAAAATTAATGTATAAAATATAATTTTTAAATTTATAAATTTTTATTTAATGTAAAAAATAGAAAAAAAAATAAGTGGATGATGAAATTAAAAATAATTTTGGAAAAAAATGAGTGAAAATTTAGGTTATTGAAGTATTTTTAAAAGAAAAATCAGAAACTGAGACGATCTTCATGCGTGAATAGCCGGGAGGAAAGAAAGGGCGGTAGATGATAATGAAAAAGGGCGCCGCGTCTGGACGGGCAGTGTCAAAATGTAATTTAAGAAAAATGTGCCACGTAGGACCACCCAGTCAGCAGCCCCGACAAATTAGAGCACGTAGCGTGGCAAGACACGCTAACTCGGTACCGCGCGGGAGGCCACACTGACAATTCGTGTGCCCGCGATAGGACGATCCGGACTTGTTCCTACGTGCATAAATGGTCCGGATCTGTTCCTTCCTCATACGCGATCGGACGATTGCGATTAAACACGATGAATGTTGCATATTCATTACCTCTTTAAATGCAATCGTACAGTATAGATCAAATCGTGATCAATGGTTCAGATTCATTCTCTCTTTAAATGCGATCGGACGATCAAGATCCAATGTGATTGACGACCCAGATTAAAAAGATACTGGTATAAATATCTTACTTCACATCAAACCCTAACTCTAGCCGCCAGCCGCCCTTCGCCGTGCCGGAGACATTTCTGACCACCAAAAAAGATTAAAAAAATTTCATTCGTTCGAAATTTAATTTTGAATATCCCCATGGCCAAATCAGAACAAAAGGACCGGCGGATGAGCCGGAAACCATGGGTAAAACTCAGCAGCACCGCTGCAGGAAAAATTAAAAACTGTCTCTGATGAAGCCCTTCCCGATTTCCGTTTTGTGCGATTTTTTCACCATTGTATTCATTATTCTATTTTTCATAGGTTGACTGAAGTAAAACACATAACCGCAAGGGTGAGCCAGTGAAGCTGCCGCACCAGAAAACTTCACCACCGGTAAGCTTATGTTTTTTGACTTTTTTGGCTAATTGAGGCCCCTTAATGTATTTTCTCGTAGAAATGAGTATAAAATCGACCGAAATCAGCCAAAACTAGTCAAAAATAGCTACGCCGTAATGCGACAGCGGTGCAATATGAGCACAAAAAATACTATCTCTCAATATCCCATCCGATATGAGGTAATGTTCACAGTAGGGTTCCCTATGCACCCGATCCGTCCACCATCTCCTAGGATAACCAGTATGAGCACCAAAAATACTCTCTCAATATCCCATCCGGTATGATAATAAAACGGGATGTCCCCATACCTTGTTCGGTATAAGTGCCAAAATACAAATTCTCAATATCCCATCTGATGTGAGGTAATGTTCACAGTAGGGTTCCATATGCACCCGATCCGTCCACCATCTCATAGGATAGCCAGTAAGACTATCATTCATTTAATCACCTAATCAAAATATTTTTCGTTTATATTTAATTTTTAGTTACACAATTTAACTGTAAATCACGCAAAACAAGCAATATATGCATCAATGAAGCACAACAAATCATCATACCAACTCCAGTGTATTGTTATGCATTTAAAATTGTAAAATTAATCAAATAGGATAAACAGTGAATAATAACCGGTTCTGCCTCCATTAGTAACTTGTGATTAATTATCAAAATTTTTTAAATTGTACAAAATACCACATTATTTTTAATTAAACTTCAATTCCATACAAGGAATAGGGTGAGAGATTCTTACCCGAATCGGTGTCCAAACAGTAAACTTTCAGTTGCACCTACTTGTGGTCCTCAGGGTTCCTTGAATTTTTCTTCGAAGATTAAAACACACTCCAAGTACCTAGAAATACCCCAAAAAAATCCAAAATCGGTATTAGAAACCCTTTCTGGCCAATTTTGGGATTCCGCCATGGCGGTGCCGCCGTGCTCCAGTGACGGCATCGCCTCCCACGACGGTGATTTGCTTCGAGTTGGCCATTTTTAGCTGGTTTTGTACTCATTCCTACGAGAAAATACGTTAAGGGGTCTCGGTTGACCGAAAAAAATCGAAAAACAAAAGTTTATCGGGGGCGGAGTTTTCCGGTGTAACGGCTCTGTCAGCTTACCTTCGCGGTTGAATATTTTTCTTCGGTCAACTTGTGGAAAACAAAATGGTGAATACAATAATGAAAAAATTGTACGAAACGAGAATCATGAAGGATCTCTTCGGAGACAGTTTTTGATTTTTTCCGCAGCGGCAGCGCTGGGCTTTACCCATAGTTTCTGACTCATCCACCAATCCTTTTGCTCCAATTTGGCCATGAGGTTATTCAAAATCAAAATTCGAGCGACTGAGATAATTTTTTATTTTTTTGACGGTCGGAGGTGGCTCCGGCGCGACAGCAAATGGTGGTCGGCTCCCTTCTCGGCGACTGGTTCTTCTTCTCTGGGGGGGGCTGGCGGCTAGGGTTATGGTTTGGTGTGAAGTGATGTATTTATATCAGTCACCTTTTAATCTGGACCGTCTGATCGCGTTTAAATAAGAAGTGAATTTGGACCATTTATCGCGATTTGATCTGGACCGTACGATCGCATTTAAAGAGAAAACGAATATAGGCCTTTCATCACGTTTAATCGCAATCGTTCGATCGCGCGTGAGGAGAAAACAGATTCGGACCGTCCACACGTGCAGGAACAAATTCGGACTGTCCGATCGAGGGCACACGGATTGTCAGCACGGCCTCCCATGTGGCATCGTGTCAGCGTGCTTTGTCACGCGACGCGCTCCAGTTCGTCATTTTTCGATTTTTCTTTCAAAAACACTATCAGAACCCAAATTTTCACCATTTTTTCTCAAAATTTTTTCAATTTCATCATCTATCTATTTTTCTTAATTTTTATATTAAATACAAAATTCATAAATTTAAAAATTATATTTTATACATTAATTTTAAATATTTAAAAATTAATTCCAAGTATTGCAAAAATTATTTATTATGTAATATAATTTATGTATTTATAATACATAATTGATAAATATATGTATTTTTTATTAAAAAAAATTGAACCATTTTATACAATCAAACATAATAAAGGCAAATTCTTTATTAATTTTTTTAATATATTTACTTATTTTTACTTGCGTACTTAATGCAATAAATATTTATTATTTAAAAGTAAACATTATTATATAATACAATAATTGCGTTTCCTTTGGGTGCTGTTATCAGAAATGCATGTTCGATGTTCTTAAGAAATAATTAAATCAATACATAATCTTAGTATGAATTAGCAATCCATGTTCGATGAATTCCAAATTCTCACTCGTAAAACTTATAATTGAATTATATTATAATTATTCCTTCTTTTAAGAAAAACTTTATATTAATAAATATTTTAATTTTGCTGTGAAATTCGTCAAATAAAATATTTTTAGTGCGATAATTATTAGGTTAAATTTTGGGTAACAGGTTTATGTTCAATAAAAAATGAAAAATAATGATAATAAATTATTATTATTATTGAGTGTATTTGAAGGTGGAGAGAGTTTTGAACTTAAAAAAGGGACAGTAAAAAATGAACTGGAAATGAAAACGACGTCGGCCCACAGGAGAAGAAAGCCTTTTGAGTTGAGGATGAGGTGAGAGAGGGTGCATGATAGCTGGTGGTCCTGCACCATTCATCTTACGTCCATTTCAAACTGTTTGTTGATGTATTGATTCATCACGTGCTTTGGTGATATGTTGCTTTTCTTGTCTGCTTTTCTTCGTTTTCATTTAATTTTACTGCCAAATCAAATCTTATAATATTTATACATATATCTCCCCCACCCAGAAAAATAAAAATAAAATTCTATACATATAAATATGAAATTTAATTTTTATGGTATGAATTGAAATTAGTCATGCAATTATATAAATAAAATTTAAAATTAAAATTAAAAACAAGTATACTTTTTATATATTTAAGCTGAATAAGACGCGTACTTTAAAGTTGGTAATAATTTCCTTTTGCATATGTACTCATTATTAATTGAAAAACTGTTTTCATTTAATTTGGTTCGTTTGGATTGGTAATATTTTAATGTACATTTTTTTTAATCCATTGGATTATTATTGATTAATTTATGATAATCGTCATTGATTTCGTTTTGTGTTCTTGACGATTTTGGATTATCCTTGAAAGATTAGTTAGCAGGTTGGAAATCTTCCAGATTAAGTTATCATAATTAAGTTTTGACCCTCTAATAAAATACTTAATTCACCTTATTTAAGAAACAAGTCAATTAATAATTTAAATCTACCATGTGGCGCTAATTAAGTATAATAAACAGAAGAATAAATGGGTAATTTATTAATTTATTTATTTTTAACTTTTTGCAACTACACGCATTACTTTTACTTTTTTTTTTAAAAAAAAATACGTCTAAATTAGCGGCACATAATAATTATTTAGTGCTATTTTAAAGTAAAAATAAAATTTGAAATTAAGAACGTAAAAGTAAATATTAATTTATAGGTTAAATTCAGATTTATTAGTTTTGATTTTTATATATATTCTAATATTACCATCAATAAGTTTATATTTACTGGAATAAAAAATAGATTTATTTTTTTACTATCTAAAAATTAAAAAAAAATTGATAAATAAAGAAAGATATATTTTTGCTTTATGTACAAAATCTTCAGATTTTTTTAAAAAGGAAAATAACATAAATAATTTTTTTAAAAATAGAAAATCAAAATTGATTGCTTTTTATATAAAAGGAAGTTTTTTAAAATGATATAAACTTTTCTCCAAGAAAATCAAAATTTTCATTATTTTGAAAAGCACTAAAAATTAACCTAGAAAATATCCCATTTTAAAATAAACTTCTTATACATCAAATTACTTTATATGATATATTTGTTAAATTGGTAATTTCAATATCAACTTTATTTATGTTTTTCTAAAATTATTATCACTAAAAACAGAAAATATTAAAAATAAAATGTTATTATATTTTCAGTGATAAAATGGATTAATATTTATAAATAGATTAATTTCGTGTTATATATAAAACATTTACAATTTAATTTCAAAATAAACAATTTATAATTGTCATATAAATATTTATGTCTTGATTTTTCCTAGGTGATAAAGTATTAAATATTACACTAAAGAAAAAAAAAAAAAAAAAAAAAAAAAGAAAGAAAGAAAGAAAGAAAGCAAGAGCCTCCTCGTTGGTTGTTGCCCAATCTAAATCTTTATTTTTTATAACATTATTCGGACAAAACAATCTCTGAAAACTCCATTTCTGATTTCAACTCTCAAACCACCATTAATGCATCACCATCTTCCTTTCTAACTCTCTTTGACAGCTTTCTTCCACCAACACCATCCTCTCTCTCTCTCTCTCTCTCTCTCTCTCTCTCTCTCTCTCTCTCTCTCTCTCTCTCTCACACACACACACACACACATTTATGTTGTACTTTCTCTTTAAGCTTCCACCATTTTAGCTGTTCCTTATAATTTCTCTGTTCTCCATCTCTTGACTCTCCGCAAAAGCAATCAAAACAATACTAGTAAAAGGGTAAAGCAACAGAGAAAGGAGAGTTTACACAGAACCCTTTTCTCCTTTTGGGTATTTCTTACCAGTCATGGGTTGCTCTGCTTCCCGAGCCAATACTCTTTTCACCACCACCTCTAACAATAATAACCCTGAAGACCCATCTCCATCATCTTCTTCTTCCTCGTGTTTGGACTCAAGGTTCGTTCCGCAATCTCCATCTCCAGTCACTAGAGCTCTCTCCCTTCCCACGCCGCTGGTTCATCATCCGCCGGCGAGAAAGGGCGATACTCACCATCTTGTCTCTCTCACATCCACCACCTACGGCTCTTTACTCCTCATTGATCAACCAGAGGAAAAACACGGCGTTCTGGACGGCCGGGATTGCGCCGGTCAACCCAAATCACCTCCTCCAATATCCATCACCAAGACTGCTTCAGTCACTGCAGATCACCCTGGTGACTCACTGTCCCCTGATTCTGTCATCAACACTTGGGAACTCATGGACGGTCTCGACGACGACTTCGATTTTGATCCAGGTAAGCCTAGTTCGCATGTTACTGACAGCAAAATTGATTTTCCGGAGAAACCCAGTTCGTTTCAGTTTGCGGGATGTGATGGGTCTGTAAAGAAATTGGAGGATTCTTATGAATTTGTGAGAATTGAGGACGTAGTGATGGAGGATTCCAATTCTTTGACAAAACCCTTATGGAAACATTTATCTGAAGAATCCCTGCTTTCTAAAATGGATGCCAATGTGGTTTCCAGTTACAGACGAGCATTATCTTCTAGACAATTGGGATGTAATCTTCCCAAAGTTACAAAATCTCCAAGTTCTAGCCCTTTAAGTTCAAAATTATCTAACAGTGAAAACCTAGCGGGCAAACAAAATGATAAACGAATTGTATTATATTTCACGAGCTTGAGAGGAATTCGGAAAACTTATGAGGATTGCTGTTCTGTCAGAATGATATTTAGGGGATTTAGAGTTCCAGTAGATGAAAAAGACATCTCCATGGATTCCACATATAGAAAGGAATTGCAGGCTGCTTTAGGAGGTACGGGTTTTAGTTTGCCACAAGTTTTCATCAGAGGAAATCATGTTGGTGGAGCAGAAGAGATTAAGCAGCTCAATGAGAATGGAGAGTTAGCAAAGCTTTTAGAAGGGTTCCCCGTTAAAGATCCTGGCTTTGTTTGTGAGAGTTGTGGGGATGCTAGGTTTGTGCCATGCCCCAACTGTAATGGGAGTCGGAAGGTTTTTGAGGAAGAAGATGATCGGTTAAGGAGGTGCCCGGGTTGTAACGAGAACGGGTTGATTCGTTGCCCTGGTTGCTGCTTATGATTTCTGATGCTGAATCGGTGATGCATATCAGTCTGGAAATCTGTTGATGAACTTCTAAAGGGTACTGTACTATCTCTTATATTATATAAAGCCATGAATTTCCATTAGTTCTTAGTATTTTGCTTCAATATTGTTTATTTCTCAACTAGGGAATTATCATTGTTCATTGTCTGTCTCAAGCCTTAACTCAATGAAATAAAAGGTGACTTGCAAGGTCCTGTTTCCATCTTTGTATTTATTGAATTCCAGTATCGATTTTATATTCTCGTATATGCTTATGTACATTTTCTTGTAATCATAATACATTTGGTGAACAATTGGTGAACATCTATTGACATCAACTGTGGATGTTGTTATGCTAATTTTTGCATTTCACCCGCTTTGGTGCTGAATATTGAGTCCAATATTCAGAGTACCTGTGTTACCGAATAGCTGACTGATTACCCAAAAACACTAAGATCGAATATGGATTAAATTTTAATTTTGTAGGAATAGAAATATAGAAATGAGATAAAATTTTGATTAAAAATAATAATATGCTAATTTGATGTCAATTTTATGTCATGTCTAAATTAGGTGATTTTGTAGTTTCTTTATTTACATGCGAGAATATAAATCTATGGTTGTACATCTGAAGATACGGGTATAGTTGATCTAATTATGTACAGAATCTGAACCTGGTGTGTCATGTGGGTAGAATAGGTGTTTCCTTGCAATTGCAAACAGTAACAGAAGCAATTATATTAATATGTTGCAGTGGTGTTGTCTGGAGAGAAGATGAATAAATTTCGTGAAGTTTATTCAGTGTTACATTTGAGGGGGAAGCTCGAGTAAATTAGTAAGATGAGCAAAGGAAGAGAGGATGTTCCAAGAGAAAGATTGAATCGTTAGAATCTTGGATTAAGCTTGCTTGAATCTAGCAGTAAACAGAAATAGATTCGTTATATAGGTTGATTTAAAACCAAGTAAATATAGATTTTTCTTAGAAATCTTTCGATGTAGCTGCAACTGCTGCAAAGTTAACCCTACTTCCCGTGTAAGTTAATAATCTTCTGGTAGGCCAAATTCAGGTTCGATGATCCAGCGAGGTTCTGAGAAATTTTCTCGTGATTCTCTAGTCTCCGGATGGATGACTTGCCTCTAAACCACAAACCTCTTGAGCACTCAACTAAAAAACAAAGTTAATCCCACTTGCAAACTCATGAAACATCAAAATACTCGAAACCAAGTGTGTCTTTTGTCTCTAAACTAGGTAAAGTAAACCATGTTGCTGGAAGGTGCAATTAAGAATCTTGGGGCCTATTATTGCTGTGATTGTACCATGTTGAAATTTGAGATGACCCATTTGGATGTTTATGGTGCTGTTTGCTGGATGTACTGCAATTATGAGATTTGGCTCATTTGCTCGCTATTGTTGATTCATGTCCTTCCAATGCATATATATATGTGTGTGTGTGTGTGTGTATACTTCACGGGCCATTTTGCAGCAAATTTACTTCTGTTTGTTGGGAAAAATTGAAAGTGACCGAACTCTGCTGCACTGTTGAGTTCAATGATGATCTCTGTAGGGCCTGAATCTTTAGAATTGATCTCCACTGTTTTGGTTTCTACATTGATTTAAAGAAGAAAAAATTAGTTTGGCATTGAATGTAAATTGGATTAAAAGGGGAGTTCATCTCTATTAACTACATCGAATTTTAGATCAGAAAGACTGCTAAATTAGAGTTTTTATTTGTATTGTGTTATGATTAGCGCATGTGTATTATTTAATTAGTGTTTAACATATGATTTTTCTTTTTTAATAAAAAAAAGGTTGAATTTTAGAAAGACATTTCAAATTTTGGAGGAAATAAAAAATTAGTGTGTCATAAAATTTCCTAAACTGTATAGCTATTATCTCTTAATTATTATACATTTTAATTTCTCTTCTCATTATTGATTGTAAAAAAATTTGTTAATTTTTTACCATATTAATAAAATCCAAAATATATTCAAATGTTACTAGAATACATAAAAAAAAAAAAAATTAGATAATTGAGTATTAACAAAAGAAATTTTTTATTGTTTTTAAATAAAATATAGATTGTTTTTTCATATTATGTGCTATTAGTTATATATATATGTGTGTGTGTATTTAAATACATGTTTGTTAATTCTTTATAAAATAAATTATATGAGAAAAAATGTAAAATAATTTATAGAATATAGTGTTTTTGTTTAGTTTTAAAAATACAAATTTCAGAACACGGGAGCCAAGTGCAATCACATGTGATTGATTTAAATTTTTATTGAACTTTTGTAAAAATAAATTTTAAAAATAATATTAATTTAGTTATAAATTGTGTCAAATATATATATATATATATATATATATTTATTAAGCACGTGCTCAATTGCAAAGGACTTGGAAGGGATGATGGGCTTATTTATTATCTTTAACATTTATTTTAAACATATCAATTTCATAAATATCATAATAAATAATGAAATTAGTTTCAAAATTTATAATTTTTATTATAATTTGGTTCTCTATATTTTTTTTATTTATTTTAGAAAAAATTACAATTATAAAATATCTCAAAATTAATGAATTTAATTAATATATTAATGATAATAAAAAAGAGACATAATATTTTTATTGATATAACGAATTAATGAAAGTTATTTTTTAAGATGTTTTTAAATGTCTAAATATGTGTTAATAATTTTATTTTTATTAGAAAATTAAATATTTAAAATAAATATAAGATTTTAATAATTAAAATATAGTGAAAAAATATTAGAAATTAAATCGTAATAAATGTTAAATTTTGTAGACGAAATTAATAATTTGTTATTAGATATTATTATAATAATATTATTTGTACCTAAATTAATTATTTCAAAATAAACGAAAATTTTAAGAGTAGCTATATATAAAAGAGGGAGAAAAAGCAAACGGCTCATGTCTTACACAGCTGTTTGCCTGTCAAGAAAACGCCAGTGACTGTCGACCGAATCGACAGACAAATATGGTAGAGACGGCCGGGGAGGGACTTGAGGAAGAAAGGAACAACAGTGGAAGAGAAGCAGAAACAGTGCTAGGGCCCTGCTTGTGCAATTACGTGGACCAAGGGAGCACCGAAAGTCACAGGTACTACCTGTCGCGTAGAACAGCGTTGGAGATGCTGAAAGACAGAGGCTATGAAGTCGCTGTCTCCGAAATCGATCTATCTCTTGAAGAATTCAGGGCCGTTCATGGTCAAAACCCGGATGTTGAGCGTCTCCGTTTCTCGGTTCATCATCGATCAGATCCTTCCAAACGGGTAAAATGGGTTCTTTCTCGGATTCTATTTCGCTTTTTCTTGGATTTCTTTTTCTAATTTACTGTTTGGTTGCTGAGAAAGCAGAGGACGGCTAAGATTTGTTACTGGGCATTTCAATTATAAGACATTTCTCTTAAACTTAGTTAACTAGGTAGTAGATACTTGTTAGGTCGAATATTCGGCTCAGTTCAGGTTTTAATTGATTTAAGAATAAGAAATCCTTTTAAACTTAATCTTGTATATATGATTTTACATTTTTATTCTAGATTTAGTACTATCTCAACATGAATAAATAATCTAAGATTTTAGTGATTTAACCATTGGTTTTCTTTTTAGCCTTAGCTGGATAGAATTTGTTCTGCAACTTGATTAATAGCATCTTGCGGTAATGTCAGCTTATTAGGAACTTGATGTTGTAACGTTTAAAAGAAACAATGAAGAAATGCCTTTTTTTTTTCTACACTCACGGTCATGGATGATGCTGCTTCACATGCAGCAAATGCAAACAGCATCAATCCTCCAATTCATTAGTTCCGACTGATGCCTTTACATGCTTAGCGTCTCAGTGTACCTCTTGAGGATGCAGCTGATCATTAGTTTGGGAGGCAAGTCAGCCTCCAAAATTCAAATTTATCTTCGTCGGCCTTATCAAACACTTTATTGAGTACTTTTCATCATTATCTCGTCTTGCCCTGGTCATGCATTTTTTATGTTGTGAAAATGCTTTTCGGAAATAAAATTATGCACCTATTCCAGCTGTTTGAGCTGAAAACTTTGTGGAATATTAGTGCCGATTTACGGGTTGCTTCTGATGTAAAGTGTTCTATTGCAGATCCTGGTTATCTTTTGTGGAACTGGTGTCGTTAAGGTTAACACGATCCGCAGTATTGCAAGTCAAATAGTTAACAAAGGGAGTTTGACTGGGCTGATATTAATTGTGCAAAATCATATAACGAGCCAAGCACTGAAAGCTATTGATCTTTTCTCATTTAAGGTCGAGATATTCCAGGTACATCTCTCTTATGTGTTTGTTTGAATACGCATTACACATTGTTATTTCTCATTTGGGGCTGAGGTATTCCAGGTACATCTCTCTTATGTGTTTGTCTGATTACACATTACCACTGTTATTTTCTCATTTAAGGCTGAGGTATTCCAGGTACATATGTATCTTTGTGCACCGACCCAGGCAGTAGGAAAAGGGCTTAAGTTAGGAGAGTACAGAAAGTGTAACAGTTCCGAAAATTTAAATGAAGATGTATGTATTAAAAATTTTAAATGCGGAAGCGAAATAAAAATTTTAATTAACATCACTTACACAATAACAAAAAACGTATTCAATGTATGAAAAAATAAGCTAATTAAAAGAAATATTCGAAATAAAAACTATAAATAGAACTATAAAATCTTTAGGCGTCTAACTCGCCGTCTTCCTGCAAAACGGGCTCGGAAACCACGTCTTCCTGATCTGAAATGGTTAAGTAAGGAATGAGCTACACTAGCCCAATAAAAACATCACACTATCTCACTGCCACAAAAATAAAGGTTGGTAAAAAACAAAAACGACCAATGGAGCATAATTTATAACAAACTTATTTATTAACGATAAAAACCTTTACTGTTCACTTATCTCGGTGAGATTCGTGAAAATAACATATAGAAACAATAACATTGTAACCATCATAAAATCATATACACTTTGTAACATAACACATGTTATACTTTTGCACTCCAATAATCAGACAACAAATTTCCTCTTTTACCATCCTACTAGTATCCATGGGGATCCATAGGGAGTCTCCGCTACACGTGAACCATTAACATTAATAACCTGATTGCAGGGCCGTCCCCATGCCCCGTCCGGTATGGGCGCCAAAACCATAAACCTCAATACCCTGTCCGGTATGAGGGTGAAACGGGTCGTCCCCATATCCCGTCCGGTATGGGCGCCAAAACACATAAGTCTCCATACCCTGTCTGATATGAGAGACTACGTTTCCGGTAGGGTTCCCTACGGATCCGGTCCGTCCACCATCTCCCAGGATATCTAGTCACGCTGTCTACATTATCCATTTATCAATTCACATAACATTTTTTCCATTTTCCTTGGTCTCAATTATTCAATCATACACAAACACGTAAACCAATAATGAATACCAAATAATGTACACAATATCGGGTCCACATAATTCAAAGTATAATAAATGAAACCGTGATTCATGTATACGAAACTATAGAATAAACACATCAGGCACCATACTATATTCAAAACTGCAAAATAAATCAAACAACACCTGACCGAAAATATATCAGATTTGGGTTCCATTGGCAATCTTAATCAATTATACATATCTATTAAGTCATAAAATACCATTTTATCATTTATTAGGCTTTAATGCCGTGATAGGAAATAGGGTAAGAAATCCTTACTTATTTTGGTGTCTGAAATCGGCTCTACAATGCGCCTACAGTCGTTGTCCCTAAATTCTCTGAATTTTTTCCGGAAAATTGAAACGTACTACCGGTACCTGCACATGTCTCCAAAAACCCCAAATCAGACCCAAGACCCCTTTTCGGCCAATATCATAATTTCGGCACGGCGGCTTCGCCATGCTCCGACGACAGCGCCGCCGCCCGCGGCGGCGATCCGTCTCAGGTTGGCTGTTTTCGGCCGTTTTCGGCCAAACTTGCATTGATTCTTGCGATAAAACAACCCTAGGGCCCTCGGTGGGCCAAAAAATTATGAAAAACCGAGATTTACCGGTGGCGGAGCTCTCGAGTGCAGCAGCTTTTCTGGCGCGAGTCGCGGTTTGATGTTTTGCTCCGGTCAACCTGCAGAGAAAAGGACGGCGATCACAGTGGTGTAAAGATTGCATCGAACGGGAACCGGAAAGGGTCTCATCGGAGGCAAAAACTGAGGGAAGCCGCGGCGGTGCCGTTGAACTTCGGCGGTGTTTTCCGACCGATTGGCCGGTGGTTTGGCTCCGATTTGGCCATAGGCGGATTCAACATCGAAAAACGAGCAAATAGGAGAAAATTTACCTTGTTTGGCGGTCGGAAAACCCTCCGGTGCGGCGGCGGGTGGCGACGGCCGGCTCCTCCGGCGACTGGTTCTTCTTCTCCGGCGAGGGTACTGGCGGCTAGGGTTTGGGGTCGGGTGTGAGTGAGGTTATTTATAACATTCCTTTTTTAATCTCAGCCGTCCATCACGATTTAATCTGAGTCGTCTGATCGCGATTAAAATAGGAACAAATATGGGCCGTCCATGGCGATGCGATCTGAGCCGTCCGTGCGTGATTCAATCTGGGTCGTCCGCACGCGTGAGATCTGGACCGTTTGATGCGTGCACGCGGATCGTTCACGTGGCTCCGTCCCACGTGGCCTCCCGCGTCAGCTTCCTTGCCACGCGGCGTGTTCTGGTTGGCCAAGTCTGCTGACTGGGCTGCTGACATGGTACAACTTTCCTAAATTGAGTTTTGACTTCCGGTTTTCGATTTTCTTTTCAAAAACACCCACAGAATCCAAATTTTCACTTCTTTTTCTCAAAATCAATTTTAATTAAATCTCAAAAATAATTTTACCCTATTTTATCATTATTATTATTATTATTTTTATTAAATTAAATTAAATTAAAATTTTATAAATTAAATATTAAAAAATTAAAACTAAATTTCTAATATAAATTAAAATAAATTAAAAAATAAAAATAATAAATTTGAGTATTACAGAAAGTATTCTCATAATTAGATGATTGATTATGTACCATTTTATGGATATTTAAAAAATAACAAGTAGATTTAGTATGAATTGAATTTGGTCGAGACCTAGAAGTATTTGATTTATCTTTTTATTATTTATTGAATCAAATTAAGTTAGAAAATATCTTTGTAAGTAATAAGTACTACAGAAACTATGGTGGACAGTGTGGTCAATAGATGTGGTAATTCTTTTTTTTAAAAAAATAAATATAGATGTGGTAATGTCATAGCAGTTTGGCAAGGTAGCTTAAGTTTGTACGTGGGCAATTTATTTACTGGCATCTCACTGCCTCATGAGAGTTAGTCTAGTTTGCACGGAGGTATTCTCTAGGATATTATTTATGTTTCATTAGTGGCACATACGATGAGACCCCTGCTATTTTCTTATCTGCTTTTGATTATTAGAAAATTTATATATCTCTATGAATCATGCAAAGAACTAACTTCAGTCTTTCTATCTGCACTCGTTATATATGTCCATAGGATTGTAACTACTTATTTTTGTCTGGATCTGGTACTTTGACTCTTTTGATCTTTGTACCACGCCTATTTTCTGACCCTAAACGTGTTCTTGCTGTTTTAATTTGTTTCCAGATAACTGAGTTGCTTGTTAATATCACAAAGCATGTGTTAAAGCCAAAGCATCGGGTATTAACTGATAAAGAGAAAAAAAATCTTCTGAAGAAGTATAGTATAGTAGAAAAACAGGTTGGTATTTTTTTACTTTGGAAAATTTCTGCATTTTGTCTGAGAAAATAAGCTGTGTTCGTTACCTGTGGGGTGTGATGGAATTTATGTCTTCTCGATGTGGTGAGAAATAATCAATTGCAAGTGCATGTTGTTTATGCAAATTTCGATTTTGATCTGTTATTTCTAATTACTATCTTAAAAGTTCTAAAATATTTTCTTGACTTGGTATGTAGAATACCGTTATGCACTGATATCATTATGTACCTCTAATTGAGTAGCTGGGTTGTATGTACAACTTGATGAATAGGGTAGCATTATATGACCGGAGTAATTGAATATTTCAGCATGTTAAACGTGCTTGTATTGCATTATGCATATGATTGTCGGCATGAAGCTGCATTTTTGTTTGAACTGGAGTCCAAGTGTAGTAACTGACCAGGTTTATGCTGCATTGCCATTTCCCCCCTCCAGCTTCCTCAGCTGTTAAAGAAAGATGCGATTGTGCGATACTATGGACTTGAAAAAGGTCAGGTAGTGAAGGTAACTTACGATGGGGAAATCACCGGGGAGCATTTCACTTATCGATGTGTCTCTTGACATTTCTGTGCAGTTTTTTCTTTTGAATTTTTCTTAGGAGAAAGAAACTATGTTCTGCTAGTTTTTTTGTTTCTCTTGAATCCTCCCAATTACTATGTTCTACTGTTTTGTTTTATCATGCTGCCATGAACCAAAAATAAAAAAATAAAAAAAAATTGAAGCATGACTTTGCATTCATTTGTTAATTTAAAAGAATACAAAATTTTATTTGAGATTTTGACAAAAAATGAAAGATATTAAATATACAAATATTTTTTTAAAAAAATTAGTAAAGATATTTTTACGAGTATTCTTTTGTACTATATTTATTTATTTTTATTAATTTAAATTAAAATTGGTTTAAAATATAATAAAAATTGAAATTGAAATTTAACTTAGTTTCTAATTTGAATTAAATGTTATTTTTTTATTTATTTTCTAAAAGTTGAAAATATAAATTAATAATTATAAAACTCAAAATGTAAGTAAAATTAATGTAATTATACATGAAATATGTCAAGTATGATTAATTTTAACATATTAAATTATCAAAATTTTTAGCTTTGTTGATCAACCCACTAATTTAGTACTCGATCACTCTAAATTTAGATACAATTCCATTCTTTTAATCAATGATTAATCACATATGAGTTAGAGAAACCGCTACACAAGTTCAAACCAACTCACTGAGTTAAATCGTTCGCAAATCAAAAACAAAATTATAGTTTAATTTTACGCTCGCTCCGTCCGTCCGTCCGTCCTAAATCTCTTTACGATCTCTTTGAAAATTTAGTTTCACCATCGGCAAATGGTTTATCAAGGATAAAGATAAGACAACTGCCTTCTCGTTTTCTCGGATAATTCAACGGTAAGCCTTTCCAGTTATGAATTCTCTTGGATTTGTTCCATCGTTAAGCGTAAATGTATAATAGGTTGATGAGATATACAATTTCTTTGCACAGTGATAACATTGTTAGGTTTTCAGTATTATGAGCGATATGGCTTCTGGGATTAGTGATCCGTCGTTAACCGAAGCAAAGGGCGGCTCTGATGCTGCTCGGATTGCTGAAGTGAGGGCGTGGCTTAGCTCTCAGTTCGATGCCGCCGGAAAAGAAGTGCCGGAGTTCGACTACACTCCTCGAAGCATTAACCATTTGTACAATCTTGCGACAGTCTCTCAGGCGAAGTCTCAGGCTGCTAACATTGTCGCCAATGATTTCCGCCAGAAAGCTTCCGAGTATCGTGCACAAGGTCCTTAACGTTTATTTACACGCACTGCTCCAGTCGCTCTGGTTTTTGTTTTCCTTTTTGGATTTCTATCATGGTTTTAAGTTAATAGCTATTTTGCAAGTTATAAAATGGATGATTATGCTAGCTGGGTAGGTTTTGCAAGTTGACAATGTGTTTGTTTCTCTTAGAAATTGTTGATAGAAAGCTTCTTTCCTGCCTTCAGATTTTGTTCTCTTGTCGTGTGATTTTATTGTCTATCGTGAGTTTTTTACTCATTGCTGTTTTGCAAATTTCAAGTGTATGATTATGCTATCTGGGTATGTTTCACAATTTGACTATGGGATTGTTTCTCTTAGAAAATTTTGATGGATAACGTTTTATTTGTCTCCCTTCAAATTGTCTTATCTTGTTTGATGATTATTACTTGTCTGATCGAGGAATTTTATGGCTAAAGCTGCAAGGATTAGAGAGATATTGGAGAATGTGGGATTGGCACAAGAGAGTTTGCCATCGACAGTGGTTTCATCGGCACAAGTTCTTGCCAATGTTGCCAATTTGTTGAATATTCGAGACACTGAACTGAGTAGGTGGGTTGTCTCACCTCTTTATTTCGGCTATTCATAAATGTCTCTTCTGTCAAATTCAATGTTCTCATAGTAGGAACCTATTTAGTTTTCTTGTAGCAATAGGTGATATTTCTTTAAGAAAGACTGGAGTAGAGGAGAAGAGGGCTAAAGTACAGAAGGAGTCCAAAGTTCTTCTGGATTATACTAGGAAAGCAATATCAAGGTTAACCTATCTGAAAAGGTAAACGTTTAAATGCAATTTCACTTCTCTTACATGGGAAAATGTTGATTGTACATTTGGATTTTCTGTTGCTCTGAAAAGGAAAATTTTGCTTTCTGTCAAGATATGCTTATTTTTCTTTGCTCTTCTGGAACTATTTTTGCAGGACGCTTGCACAACTAGAGGATGATGTACCTCCTTGTGAGGCTCAGATGGAAAATTGGAAAACAAACTTGGCCGTCATGGCATCAAAAGAGCGACAGTACTTGCAACAATATAACAACTATAAGGTATCAGACATCTTCAGTTTGATTATTGTTGCCAATGTATAAGTTGGCTAATTAACTATATGAAAGTTGAATTATTGGATTCATTAAAACCACCTTGCCTTACTGAATTACTGATTGGAAATGAAGAGAGAAGCTCAATGGCGACATAAAATGTAAGCTTGTAGCAAGATAATAGAAAATGCTACTTATGGCATGGTTGAGTCCAAATTTTTATGTCAGTGGAAATGCCATTCATCTGCATTCCGACCCTGAGCTCTCTCATGATGCCCATATATTTGGAATAGTTGGGCTTCAAGATCTGTCTCAGTTTCTCTGACATTATCTCCGGAGACGACTATTTATTTAGGTTGTGAACATGATATTTTCTTGTCTTCTTGTTCAGGAAACTTATATGTCAAATTTGCTAATCAACAGTTTCTTCAATCCAGCAAAAATTGTCCCAATGATTTCATTTCTTAGATCAATTCTCATCTTTCATTGCATCTCTGACTTGCATGTGTCATTGAATATGTTGATAGTATATATCAGGGAGTGGATTTAAGAACTCATGACTTGGAATTTTGCCAGACAAATGTGTAAATTTTCTAGACAGATCCTGTTTGATGCATCATTTTGCAACATTTAAATGACAACAGTGGTGAATGGTACCAATGCAGCAGAACACATGCACGTACTTGGTTGAAGTTTCGTTTTTCCTGGGCAGGATATTGGTTTGCTAGATTATCATTCTACTCTATCTAATGTTGTTCGGTCTGCTAAAAATTTTTTGGAACAGGCATTACTTAATCGGGTAGGCTACGCTCCTGAGATTAGCCATGGGATGCTTGTTGAAATGGATGAGCACAGAAAGGAATTGGAGAAGAAGACTAAGCCCATTTTAGATACTTTGAGAAGCTACCAGGACTTGCCTCCGGTAAGTCTGTTGTCCAGTTTACTCTGCAAGACTGCATGCGTTAGTTTCTATCAATGTTTGAATAAATAGTGATTTATGGGGTAAATTACGTTTTGAGGTCCTTGTTGGGTCATAATTGTAATTGGATATTACTTTTTTAAGAAGAACAACTTAGTTCCTGCATGCCAAACATATCTCTCTTGATGTACAATTTCTTCGAAGATATTAAATAATAATTAAATATGTATCATGTATCAATTCGTGACTCTGAAATATAAAAGAAAGGAACATAACAAGCAATTCCTTGAAAAAAGATTAAGCAACAATAAGCAACAATAAGCAATAAGCAATAAGCAACAATGAGAGTGCAAGGATTAAAAAAGTGTCTACAAGGACAACAATGTGAATAAATAATTAAAAAATAATGGACTCAGGTTGTAATTATACCTAAATATCTAGTACTCCTATTTACATTTATTCTAATACATATCCTTGTCTCTTTTTATATACGATGTCTATTTTCTCCATCTCTATTGGCCTTCTTGTTTTATATATTAGGCTGACACTTTTTTTCTCTCAGAACTTATGGTTGCAAATCCTCTCTTTGTCAATTTCTATGCTGCAATATGTCATACTTTTTGTCTGTGCAGGATAAAGCTTTGGCTGCTTTGGCAATAGAGGATAAGAAAAGGAAGTATGCTGCTGCTGAGAAACATCTTGAAGATGTGTTGCATTCAGCCCTTGCCTCTGCTGACTAACATGATGGAATCTGTTATGTATTTTTTAGGTCTTATATTTTTTTCATCTACGAGTGCAAAGTGTGAATTAATTCAGCTGATAACCAATAGCAAATTGCAGTATTGTGCTGCTGAAATGTACTGCTGCTATAGAATTTGACGTGGAGGATTTTTTTTTTTGGCACACTTTAAGTTTTCTCTGTGCAGTTTGATTTTATTGTAATTCAATTACTATGATTTTTTGTGATAATTAAAGAATGTCTAATTTAATTTGTTCCGATATCTGAAGTCTGCTATGAAATATTACAGTATACTGAATTACGATTAGATGAATCCAAATATGTGGACAAAACTAAGTTATCTTTCTTTTTCTTTTATAGTGAAAAATGGGGTATCAAGTAGAGAACCAAAATCTGTTTGTTTTATACTTTCTATAGTATACTCAGCAACATTTTGTAACTAACAGAGCAAATTATTTGGTTTCTGAATTCCAAAATTACCAGAATATGTAACTGTAATAGCAAATAGAAGAGACTCAGCTGGAGCTCACACCCAAGAGAAAAAAAGGGATTTACACAAATTCACAATACCCTTCAATCATGCTACCTTTCTTGATGTGCATTTAAGTGTCCAAAAGGATTTAACAAAAAACAAACAAAGGCTTTAGTATACCAACAAACAAATTTACAATACCCTTTACTGTCTAAAAAGGGGTTTACTGTCTACAAAGATTCAAAAACAGATTCTCAAGAAAATGTTGAAAACATCCAGGATAGAACGAATGAAAGATGCATTCCATTATTGTGTATGTTGTCAGGTTTTCATTTTTTGCGAGCCATGGCTGCCGCAACCCCACCAACTATAAGACCAACTGCAGTGGCGGTGATGCCAATTCCAATTACACCATCTGCATTCAGCAAAAACGGTTCTAATTGCTTGAGTTTGGTTCTATGATAAGGCTGAAAATTCTGTTTGGTCTTATAACCTGGACAAGAAAGAACGAATGAAAGAGACATCCTTGAATTTACCTTTAGCAATTCGATCTTCGATTGTCTTCTTAAGGACAAGAGCCTGCCTCCAATCAGGTGCAATCTACAAAAACATAGTTAAAGTTAGAGAAAGAAAAACAAAGATGCTGGTGCATGTCTAAGTAAATGAATTACCAAGAGAACCTAAAAAGGTAGAGAACAGAAAGAGGGACTGAATGACATTTGAAAAAACAAAAACCTCTAAGCATTGCTCCAGAAGATGGCGGCTCCTTGAATATTCACCACTTCTGTAATATCCAACAGCCAGAAGATAAAGCTTTTCCCTGAGTTGCAAAGGGGGAATATTACTTGCTAAAGATGCTGCAATATACATTTTGAGTTTAGAATGGTAATATCTCAGAAGTATTTGGGATATACTTGTCCTCAAATTTTTTGAAGAGGGGAGAGGGAGGAACATTTACATCATTGAAAAGCCTACAGGTTAAATAAAAGAACCAAGACCATTGCAATTCTCAAGAAATAAGCTACTTACTGGCACGAGGGGGGTGGAGAGAAAGGAAGAGTCAGACTAATAACATATCTACCATGAAAGATTATCCAAAAAACATCCTATAAAAATGTTAGAACAAATAGAACACGAAGTAAATGTCCTTGCTTAGGATAAAATAGAGAGGTTAAATCTCCAAGTATCTCTCCAGCATTGGTTCAAGGAATCATTTCCCCTCGATATTCCCCCAATCCAAAGAGCATATTGTTAACAAAGATATTTCCTTTCATATTACCAACGAACCAAAGTTTTACCAAGACAATCAAAATGGTCATTATTTAGTTCTGGTTATTATGTCATGTACCAAACATAATATTCTCAAGAAAAGATTAGAAGAATCATGAAAAACTTATTCAAATTTAATTAAAACATCAAAATCAGAAATTTGTTGACCAATGTCTATTTTTTTAATGTCAAGTAGAACTAATTATATTATTACAACCCATGGCATATGGCAAAAAAATTCACTCAAGAGGATGATGAACAAGAAAAGTTTTGACTGATTTACCTTCAAGCATAGCTATCCCACGCTGTATGTCTTCTGCTTGTCTAGAGTGAACAAGTGCCCAAGACAACCGCATAATGCTTTCTCTCTTAAGTTCATCTGAACCACATGCGGCCTCTGCAACTTCTCTCTCACAACCCTGCCAGTGAGAAGCAGAATTTAGAGTTTAAACCAATAAAAAGATTATTGAAGTAAAAACCAAAAAAGGGCAATAAGAATATAATTCAGCTAAACATTCGGAAATAGAGAAACAGCAAGAGATAATACTTTCATTAGCTAAAGTAGCCTTTGAGGTATGTCCAACAATAAACAAACATTTCAAGGGCTGAAAGCTCAGGTATCATTGACATCTCACAATGTCCACCCTCAAAGAAAAATGAATAATAGTTACTGCATACTTTTTCACATGCACTGCTAGGTTACAATTTCTTCGATAGAAAACACATCGCTAAGATACACATTATACATGCCCGTCCTGCAGAGAAGAAACATTGGGAAACCATTGGCCATGACACACTCTCTAGACATGCCACCGGATATTTAATGTGAGTAAAATTGGATAACTTTATTCCCACTCAGTACAGTCAATCAAATTATGAAAGTAAAATTAAGCTCTGCATTCACAAGAAGTCCCAATATCCCATACTTTAGCTAACACCAAATGGTCAAGACCAAAGCTATATCATCACTTTGAAACTCTTGTATGGGACGACCTTAAATAGCCCCATCCAAATCAACTGAACCTCAACAATCAAACAACAATAAACCAACAACAAGCTGCTATCTCTACGACTTCTTTAAGGGTTCAAGATATGGTGCCCAACCCTCCCCCCCAAATGATACGCATCAATTCAACAAAATGCAATCAACCCCTTCCCCAAATACTTGTAGGGTAAAACTTTATAACTGCACCTTCCAGAAGTAATACCATCATAAAAATTTCAATCACATACAAAGGTTAATGATATATTTTGCGCACTTTAAATAAAGATAACTTACTGATTGTGACTACCCTAACACGAAACCATTAAAAAAAATCGGTGTTTTTGAAGTTTTTGATATTCGAATTACAGGGTCCTGATTCCTCAGAAAAGCAAATAAACCTATTTGAGAACAGAACTGTAATTATTTAAAATTTAAACTGAGAGAGCATATAAGCGTTCTACTTACGAGGATGACATCACGGTCGCACCAAGGGATCTGGTCACCACCACCAAAGAAGGAGCTAACCGATTCGAAGAACTTGCCAATCTTCATCTTCGCTTCCATGGATAAACAGTTGAACAGAAACCCGATCAAACTTGATTAATTCTTTTTGTTTATCTTTTTATGTTTCTTGTGGGGGGTTTTATTGAAGCGAAAAATAAAAAACAGGGAGCGGAGAAACAACATAACTGAGTCGGTTTTTCCTCGCCGCGTGGAATGGAGAAATTATTACGGTTAAATTATATTATTAAGTAATTGAAAACAAAATTTATTAGACTAATTAATATGTTTTTTTTATTAATATAAATAGTTCTTTTGTTTAATTTGAGTTATTAATTTAATGAAAGTCTTACGTCATATTTTTGTATTAATAAATTAAATATATTGGAAATAACTTTTTCACATTTAATAAAAATTAATGATGGTATGAGTATGAGATTAAGTTCTTTCATAATTTTTTTATTAAAATAATTTAAGTTCGTTATACAAAACAGCATCAACCTCTTCAGAACTGTAGAGCAGCAAATTAACTCGTAAACTAATTAATCAAGTAATTAAGATTAATTAATCCTATAATTTTACGGATTAATTTATTGCTGCTTCTCAGTTTCCCACTTTGCCGATCCTCAGATAAACCGGAAATCTAACCAGCTTCTTCCCCCTCCCCGAACCACGCTTAAACTCCTCAATCACACCGTCCGTCAAAAGCTCCACACCCACATCCTTAGCTGTCTGATACGCCGACCACGACCTCAGATACGTGAAAAATTCATCCAAACCCATTGGTTTCTCCGCCAGGAACTCAAACGGTCCCGTTTTGTCTTCCCCGTCAACCGGCTCAAACGGGAAATCGATGTTCATGTACTTGTCTTCCACCATTTTTCGCGGAGGTTCCCAGAACTTCTCCTTAACGACATCGTAGTACCGTCGCAGAATGGGGTCTACGACGTTGTGTACTTCCGGTAAGGTGTAGCACCAGGCGGCAATGACACCGTCGGGTTTTTTCAAGACAAATTTCACTTGGCTGTAAAATGTGGGAAGATCGAAAAAGTGCATTGCTTGAGCTACGGTCACGGTATCAACGCTCGACTCGGGTGCAACTTTTTGTTGGAGCTCCGCTGTGGACATGGCGGGTGGGGTTTGTTGGTATTTGATGTTGGGTAGCGTCGGAGCCATTTCTAGTTGATTCGGGCTCGTGTCTGTGGCGACCACGTTCTTGTAGAT